GCTAATATCAAAGAGTCAGGCACAATTCCTGGCACCAGAGTCCAGTTATAAATCTCTATGTGTCACTCTAAGGGTTTGGTGTATTTATAATTTGCTGGGAAACTATGGAAGAAAAACTGACTAGGATTATCTGTGGCAATCATGGTGGGTATCAGTTAAAATGCCTGCAGTTATGTCAGGCTGAATTCATACAACCATCTTTGGTCCCTCTCTAAGTTGTAATACTCTGGGTAATAGGAAAAGTTCAACACAAATCCTGTTATACATAAATTCAATTTTGAAACCTAGCACATTCACATATGATATCTAGAAGCAAACAGTATTACACAGGGTAACCATAAGTACCCAAGAAAATATACCTTCTCAGTATATGAATAACCACATATAGTAGATGTGTGAATGCATTTTAAAACAGACTGGAAATAGGAACAGAAGGATTAGGTTACCTCCAGAATTGTTAGTCATCAAATTCATGTTAAGAATATAGAGTAAGAGGCTGTGCCTCTGTGCCAGCAGTCATTTGCCCTCTGCTCTGTCTTGTACTACCCACTGCCTTCCTGCCATCCACAATGGCCCTGCTGCACTCTGGCCAACCATCCTCTCTATGGCTGCTGGCGCCTCCCAGCCAGGTCTTGCTGCCACAGCTTCTGCCAGAGCCAGCTCTTGGTAGGCCCATAGGGAAATGGGACCCCAGTTTCCATTTTTGGAGTGACTAAATAAGAGAGACACCAACAGCAAAAAGATGAACTTGGTAGTTGGTGCCTACCTGGATAATAATGGAAAGCCTTATGGACTCCAAAAAGTCATAGGCCCAGATTGCTGCAAAAAATATGGACAAGGAATACCTATCCATTGGTGAACTGGCTGAATTTTTAAGATATCTGCAGAACTAGCCCTGGGTAAAAACAGTGAGGTGTTGAAAAGTGGAGGATTTGTCACCGTGCAGACTATTTCTGGAACTGGGGCCTTAAGGGTCAGAGCCAATTTTCTGGAAAGATTTTTTAAAGTTCAGCTGAGTTGTCTTTCTACCCAAAACATCCTGGTGAAATCACACACCCATTTTCAGGGATGCTATCAATACTATGACCCCAAGACTTGCACTTTTGACTTCACAGGTGCCATAAAAGACATTTTAAAAATACCAGAGCAGTGTTCTTCTCCTGCATGCCTGTGCCCACAATCCCACTGGAACGGACCCTCATCCTGAGCAGTTGAAGAAAATAGAATCTATGGTAAAGAAAAAGAATTTCCTTGCCATCTTTGACATGACTTCCAATGCTTTGCCAGTGGTGATAGTACCAAGGATGTCTGAGCTGTGTGCTACTTCCTCGAACAGGGCATTAATATTTGTCTCTGCCAATTACATGACAAGAACATGGGCTTATGTGGGAAGCATGTGGGAGACTTCACCATAGTCTGCAAAGATGCGGATGAAACCAAAAGGGTAGAATCACAATTAAAGATTGTGATCCATCCCTTATATTCCAACTCTTCTCTCAATGGACCCTGGATCACTTCTATTATCCTGACTTCAACGGATTTGCAAAAATAATGACTGCAGGAAGTGAAAGGCATCATCAGCATGCGGACCCAGCTGGTTGCCAACCTCAAGAAGGAGGGCTACTCCCACAATTGGCAACACATCACAGACCAGATCAGCAYGTTGTGTTTCACCGGCCTAAAGTCTGAACCGGTAGAGTGACTGACTAAGGAGTTCTCCATCTACATGACAAAGGGTGGCTGCATCTCCTTGACAGGGGTCACCTCCAGCAATGTGCCATTCACCAGGTCACTAAGTAACTTCACAGTGCAAGAACAAAGAAAACTTTTCTGTCCTCAGTTCCTGCTGTTGTGAGACTSACATGCAGGATGATGGTGGTGAGTGCATCATTTCTTTCAACTACATTTTGAAAGACCCTAGCCCAGTTAGTCCAGTTACCTAAGGCCAAGATATGAAATCAAGATACCGGGTTTGTCATAAACAGGCTCAGGCACCGGATGTGCTTTCCATATAACCGGTTGAGAAAGAACAGAGCACCCACATCCTGAGGCATGAATGAATAAACAGGAACAGATAAGCAGGAACAGAAAGAATAGAATGCAGACCTGTGGTTTTTGGAATGCAGACCTGTACCCCCTAGGTGGCCTTATATGCTAGATTTAAACAAACCAATAAGAAACCTGTTGCTTCCCGCACGCGCGCGAAACCTGTCCCAAACCCTATAAAAATCTCTGTATCCCCAAGCCCGGTGTGCCAGTTCACCAAAGCTCCGGCTGAGGTTCTGCTGGACACCCGCAGGCGCCTGTGTCTCAACAAACCACCTCGTGCTTTTGCAGCCAGTGTTTCGTGTGATTCTCCTTGGACAGGGAAACGGGGGTCTTTCATAAACGGGGTGCTTTTCAATTTCATAACACTCAGTGATTAGATGTGTTTCTCAAAAAAGAACATATAGTCAAAGAGAACAGAGGCATCCATAGCTGGTGTCTAGAACTCTGTGGTTTTTAAACCAAACTCTCTACCGTCCGTCTTTTTAACCTTGTGATGCTTGGGGTTGAACCCAGGGCCTTGTGCATGTGAGGCAAGCATTTTACCAATTGAGCAATATCCCCAGCCCTCCCCCATCCTTTTATCTCCAACTTTTTTGAGAGTTTGCATGTATAAGTCACAACACCAAAAACCTGTCATGACATTGCAATTGTAAGTGGTTCCTCTGTGGATCTAGCATGAGCTGTGTCTCATATTGTGAGTTTCACATGCAGGATGATAGTGGTGAGTGCATCATTTCTTTCAACTGGAGTCTGAGTCTGTCATTAAGAGTCAATATTACATTTGTCCCCCCATGATGGAGCATCCTTATCAACAGACTGTATTGCACAAATTGTCCTTTACAAAAACCAATGAGTCTGTTGCCACCGAAGCGAAAATAATAGATGCTTGTCCTGTCTTATTTAAGAAAAAAGAAAAAAATATTCTCTTCTTATCATTGTTGTTCTTTTCTTTAACACAAGATCCATAATTGGCCTAGATTTTCATCCCATTCTTGATTAACAAGGAACCCCATCCTATCAGGATCTATTTAAAAACGAAAAACATAATTTTCTGTTCATGCCATACCCTTTATTTCTTGGTAAAGAATAGTGGAGAGTAGGTAACTGCACTTTGTTAGCATCCTCATCATGATTGTGTAATTGCCTCCTCTTGGGATGCTGCCTCTGCCCAGCTGGACCTCTTTCTTCATTCCTTGTGGTTGTGCAGCACTAATCTCACATCATGAGTCAGGTGACATAGGTTAGGATCAGAAAGGAGATATTCTGGGTTTTGTGTGCTTCCAGCCAGGCTTAGGCTTCACCCTTGGAAAGGTCACCATCATCTGCTCTAATCTTGTACACCTGGTTTCTCTGTACAATAAAATGACTGTAAACCTCCCCCGCCAAAAAAAAAAAAGAATATACAGTAAGATCTTGTCATCTAGACATATATTTCAATTAAGATGAATTTTTTTATTTTTTAATATTTATTTTTTAGTTTTCGGTGGACACAACATCTTTATTTTTATGTGGTGCTGAGGATCGAACCCAGCGCCCTGCACATGCCAAGCAAGCACACTACCGCTTGAGCCACGTCCCCAGCCCCAAGATGCATTTTTTAAAAGAATGTATAGTAAAACAATAAACAGAGGAGGGAAGAGAGGAAAGACAAGTTTTCCTATAGCCTAAAAAGAGAACGCAATTTATCCTCCTAACAGTATCATTTCCAGGAAAAAATAGGTAACTAATTAAAGTATATGAAAAGACTTTGCACCAAAACTCTTGTCCAGGTGAATCTAATTCTGCTCACAGATAATCTTTATATTTCTTCTTAGAGAAAAAGTAAGAGAATTTAATTCTCTTTTAAAATATACTCTCAATGTCTCTCTTGGTCTACTTTCTCCATAGATTACTTTAGAAATAAATATAAAATCGCCATGCTGCTTTTTCAAACTTTTACATTGAAAACACAATACTTTATTTAAGCACTAAAACAAGTGGCAAATGATTCATCACATAGGAAAGAGAGCATATAAATTGTGGGTTGGAGGAGTCAAATCACTTTCTAAATCTATCCACCATTATCACCTTTTTTTTTTTTTTGAGAAAGTCATACGATTTCATTAAAAGTAACACACAATAACACATAATTCAATCAAGATTTAAAAACTTCATGAGAATGTTTCTTCCACTTTACAAGCAAAAGGCTGTTATTAATAACATTTTATATCTTTAAATATCTTTCTCTTCTTTAGCTTTGTTTCATTTCTTTGAAAAGAAGCACTTACTGTAAGCTGATACTTGTCTAGGAAAAGACTATCATTTTCTGGAAAATTTGTAAGATGATTGCTGATAACTTTTTGCAAATGTGCACATATAAATGTGTTCATATTTTCAAGACTGTTATCTTTTAACCTAAAGAATCTGCCCTGTGCTAATAGTCTGTTTTCAATCAGAAGTGAATATACAGAGACATAAGAGCAGAAATGTGTGATATTTTTTTCAAGTCACCTCTAAACAATAGAGGTTGTTAGATGTACTTGAGATGGTAATAATACCTAACTTTGTCCCAAGCACCTTGAAGACAATAGCAAAGTCTAAAAACCTGAAAAATTTGTCACTACGGCTCAATCCCCAACACTTATAAAACCAGAATTCACCAATACAAATCCAAAGCTTTAACACAATTACAAGATAAGTGTTTCCTCTACCTCACCTACTAACACACTAGGTAACAGTGCATATACAAAATGAATATAACATTGACTTCCAGTCTACCCTCTGGATCAGCTTAACAAATTTAACATCTTACTGACCTTATTCTTTGCATTTGAATTCTAATCCTACCCCTTGAATTCAATCTTCACTGATTTATTCTGCCATTTCAAAGAAATCATTTCCTATCCTGAAGTTGTCCTACAATCTTAACATGCTAATGAAATATAATAAAAAAACATATAAACTAAAAAATGAATTTTTAAATATTAAACAAAACCAAAATTATTTTAATAAGTAACAAATATAACAAAAAATTATAAAAATTWAAAAAAATTAATATTAATCAAATTCCTCATTGAAAGTGTATATATAAACAAATTATATAGAAAATTGATATTTTACTCATAACTTTATATTTCCATAATTGTAACTAAACAGAGTGTTTAAAGTGCAATAGCAAATTCCTCACACTAAATGTATGCACATTTTGAATAACCATCTATATACATTAATAAAGTTTTTAATGTGATAAGTGAGCTTGTTTCTTGCTTGTTAATTTGTCTAATCTAGGTTGAATTGATGACAATGCTACTCTCAAGGGATAATGTATATTTAAACTGTTTCTATGTTTTGTTTTAATAACACTTAAAGTAGAGAATCCTGTTTCACAGAGGTATGTTGAAGGGAATACAAGAAGAGACTTTAAAGCTATCTCAGCGAGCTCAGGATATTCATTTTTAACTTTTATCCAAAATGAAGCAAGTGATGCTGTATTTTCAAACTTTATTTTCAATCCTTCATCAGTAGCCAGTTTCAACAACTTATCATGGAGGGTTATAGTTAAATTTAAACTATCTTTTGAGGAAAGAAATGGGTTTTGGATCCATGAATTTCCTATGCGTGGATCTTCTTTTGATGGAAAATAAAATTCAAGATATTCTAACAAATTTCTAAGATGTTCACTGATAACTTCTTGCAAATGTGCAATATCAAGATCATGACCTACTTCATTTATGAATGTTGTTAAATTATGGAACATATCATAACAATCTGTAGATACTCTGTTTTTCCAACTTTCTAACTTTTGTTTTTGTCCTTCAATCTTATCTGCCATTGAAAAACATGTTGTATTCTTTCCTTGCAYAGAAGCATTAAGATCATTAAAAATACTGAATATATCAGACAAATAAGCAAGTCTGGCTATCCAATTCACATCTTTAAAAAGCTGAGACCAAACAGGTTTCTTGCCTTGCAGAAACATTAAGAGTTCATTTCGTATTTCAAACATTCTTGATAAAATTTTTCCCCTTGACAACCACCGTATCTCAGCATGCAATAACAGTTGCTTATGATCAACTTCCATATTATCACATAATAAGGAGAATAATCTTGAATTCAATGCATTAGATTTTACATAATTCACAATTTTTACTATGTCAGTAAGCACACTATGAAGTTCAGCTGATATTTTTTTCATAACAAGACTGTCCTGATGAATGAAGAAATGTGTTGTTTTACATTCTGGTGCAAGTTCCTTGATCTGGGTAATCACTTTGGAATGTTTTCCTGTCATTGAAGCTGCAGCATCAGAACATACTCCTACACAAAACTTAAATTCCAAGCCACATTTGTCAACAACATAATTCTTCACAGCTTCATACAGTTCTGAGCTGGTTGTGTTTATAGGCAGAGAGGCTGAAAAAAAGAATTCTTCCTTTATATCATCATCATGCTCAAACCTCACATAGACTAATAGGATTATCAGGTTGGCAATATCTCTACATTCATCAAGTTGTAATGAAAAATATTTTGCCAATTTTATTTGTTCTATGAGTTGATCTTCCATATCATTAGCCAGTTCCTGAATACGTCGAGCTATGGTGTCATTGGAAAGTGGTACTTGAGCTACCTTTTTTGCTGCAGATTCACCCAACATTTCCAAGCAAACTTCTTTGATGCAGTCTTTCACTAGTGTCTCAGCAATTGTGTATGGTGTTTTAGACTTAGCAACTGGAAGCGCTACTTTATATGAAGCCCGTAAAGCACTAATGTTTATATGAGAAACACTAAACACCTGCCTTGGTTGAGTTTTCAATTCACTAATCTTTTTTTCAAAGAATTCTTTTGGTTGAGAACTTATTTCTTTATGTTTCGAATATAAATGTCGCTTAAGTTTTGATGGTTTCATTGCTTCATTCGCCAGTACATCTCCACAAATAATACACTGTGGTTTTAGTACTTCTCCATCAATTACAGCTACAAAACCAAACTCAATGTAGGAAGGATCATATTTCCGAGTAAAACTAGTATGAACTCTTTTGGTTTTCACTTCTTCAGCATGACTTCTATTGTTACTATTTCTTTTTTTACTACTTCTGTATTCAGAAAAGGTGTGTCTCTTCTTTACAAAAAAATCCAGTGAAGTTTGTTTCGCCATCTGAAAATTAAGATTAAAAATAAATAATATAAATATTACTTCCCTCTTTTAGTTAATAAATTCAAATAATAAACTCAAAACTAGACTTGATTAAAAAGATGATATTAAAATAAGTTATAAGATTTAGGGATGCAGCTCAGTGGTAGGGCCCCTGCCCACTGCAGCCCTGCAGTGCGCCTGAGGCTGAGTTAAATCCCCAGTACTACAAAAATATAAAATAAAACAAAATTAGAAAGTTATAAAATAACGGGGCTGCAACTGCAGCTTAGTAGTAGAGCGCTTGCCTAGCATGTGTGAGGCACTGGGTTTGATCCTCAGCACCACATAAAAATAATTAAAATAAAAGTATTGTGTCCATCTACAACTAAAAAATTTAAAAAGCTTTTTAAAAAGTTATAAAATAAATGTTTACATTTTCTGAGCTTTATATCCTTTGGGTTAATCCAACAAACTGCATGAAAAATATCACACACTATAATGTGAACTTAATTGTGTTTGACTAGCATGCAACTCCCACCACCTTTGAACTTACTAACACCCAAACTGTTCTATACTCTATTCAGTAAGGCAAATTTATTAAACATGTGCTTGGATGTTGTTGCAATGTCAAATCATTATAAATGTTTCTAATAATCTCAATTTTATACTTATTTCATTATGGACTAGTAAAAACTGTTTGCAGATAATTACTGGTCTACAAGTCACACTTTTGAGTACCTCTGGCCTAAATCATGTGTAACCTCCATATTTCAAAACATTAGCTCTACCTCATAAAACTCCTGGTTTAAAACAATTTAGGTATTAAATCATGCTATTTAAGTCCTGCAACTGAACTCTTTCCCAGCACAAACCCATATCTTCAAATCAAATTCATTACTCTAACCCCTTCTAAATATGATTTAAAATGTCCTTTCTTAGCTAATGTTCCCACCCAAATTCACATATAATTGAAAAAAGTAGCATTAAATTCATTTATTCCCAATTCATTCTTCCATAGAAGCATACCATCTGTCATATACACTATTTGTCCTCTTACTCTTAGCTTTTTCATCCCATGAGAAATGCCTGACACCAGACAGCTGTAAAACCCTAGAATAATAAACCAGGAAACATCTAAGGTTATAACCTCCAACTTGGGAAAAAAAAAAGCCGGTGGGAGGCATTAAAGCAATTTGCCTTTCTTTGAGGAAAAATATATTTAAGATGGTCAAAATGTGATTTGGTACACCTTGTCAAGTAATTCATATTCATAAATAATTTTCCTGTTCACAGTAAARTATGAAGCTCTTACCCTGCTTTCATATACAGTGGATATTCAAAACTCTTACCCAGTCTCCTACTGTGTCTGGTGAAAATGGTGTCTCTGATGACTTTAGCATTTTAGAAGGTTGAACAGCCAAACCTCTTTGAATCTCATTATGTTTCCTTTTCATTGAATTGGTCTCATGGCAAAGACTACAAGTTATTTGGTGACCACAGACCTCAGTCTCATGTTGAGAAGGCACTCCACAGATTGCATGGACATTTCCCAGACATGATGTACAACTATTGGCACCTGTGCATTCTTTTTCACAAACTACACAGGATAAAAATCTTAGTCTGCTTTCAGAAGGGTTTTTTTCAGCCATATTAGGGGTAATAGAAAGATTTTCTTCAATATCACTACTATCTATTCCAGTTTCAATGTTTTCTTCATACTGGGCTCTTAAAGTATTTTCTAACTCTCTGTTGGCTTGATTTAATTCATTTTCTCTGTGCAATTTGGCAACAAATTCTTCAGTTAACTGAGAATGGGACAGGTCCAGTTTAGCTTCAGATCTGAATGTACCTTCACATGGAGTCTGCTGTACACCTCTGTGACAGGATCGGTTTTGGGTCATCTGAATGAACCACAAAAATTCAGTCCAGTGTGGAGAGTTGTTTGTTTGCATCCAGGAGAAGATTCTCTTTTGGATCTCATTAGTTTGTTCTATAGAACTTTGGCTTTGGCAGGCCTGAGCTTTCCCATGGACAATTTTCAATTCTGGACAAATATTACTGAGTTCACTGACAATCTGGCTTGAAAATTCCCTCCCATTGTTGGATTGTAAGACACTGGGTGCTCCAATAATTGTAAAAATATCTAAAAGAGCATGTGCAACTTCCTCAGGCCTTTTAGACTTTAGTGATCGCAAAAAACTTAACTTTGTATGAAGGTCTTGATAATACATAATAAATTTATACTCCCCATCAGGATTCAATTGCATGTCTATGAGATCTACTTGGCATCTTGAGTTAACTTCCTTAATTTTTGATGTTAGAACTTTCTTGAGTTTTGAGTTTTTCTGTTGGCATGGTTTACAGAGTGTGAGGTATAGCATTATAACTTCTTTTGTGATGTTCTTATATTTTGCTTGTAATTCTTTCTCCATGCGGGTACGTCCAGCATGTCCAATGCTAAGATGTGTATCATGAAGAATGTCAAATAAGTCCTCACTGTGTAAATAATAACGTATTTTATCTGTTTCTCCATTTATAGCCTCAATCAGCTTCTCTTTTCCGTGTACAAGGATAACATCAAATCTAGCCAAGCGACGGCAGTCAACTGATTCTTTTTTTGCTTTAGCTTTAGCCTCTTTTACTTCCCTTATTAATTGACAGTACTTTGCTTTAGAAAATATCTTAGTATTATTACTTTTGTTTTCTAGTAACATTGCTAAATTTCTGAAGAATCTTTTTCTCATGTTTTCTGATTCAATTTCTGCTTCATTAGTATGTAAGCTACTAATGTTATCATCACCCACGCTTTGAGACATCATGGAAAGCCACAAATATGACCCTACAATATAAAGGGAAAAATCAATTAGAATATTTGGGAATATAATTTAAAATATAAATGTTGCTCAAATAAAAAGTTCTGATATAGTAAACAGTAGAAAGCCAGTATGTGACTTATCAGAACAATATTCAGGGTAAGCCTTAAAGCACTGCTTTATATATAAAGCAGGTTATAAATTAATGTTTGTGTCTATTTATTCACCATATAAGAACACTTTTTTTTGGCTGGAGAAACTCCAGCAATTGTATGGTTTGGATCTAGAATGTCCCCCAAAGTTCGTGTGTTGAACACGTTCAAGAAGCTGTTTGTGACTGGATGACTTTGTTCTTTGTTTTTCTGTTTCCTGGAATGTACATTTTATTTTTTTTTTTTAAAGAGAGAGTGAGATTTTTTAATATATTTATTTTTTAGTTTTTGGCGGATACATCTTTGTTTGTGGTGCACGCATGCCAGGCAAGCGCGCTACCGCTTGAGCCACATCCCCAGCCCCATACATATTAATTTTTTAAAAATAAAAGCTATTTTTAAAAAAGCTCATGTGTTGAAAGCATGGTTCAGTGGTAGACTTTTAGGCAATGATTGAATCACAGAGGGCTCACATCAGTGGATTAATCCATTGATTGGGAGATGCACTACAGGGAGGTAGGATTAAAGGAAGTAGGTCACTGAAGGTGAAAGGGATTATATTCTCCCTGAAATCTCTCACTCTCCCTCTGCTTCCCAGCTGCTATGAGCTTTCCTCCTTCCACCATGTTGGTCTGCCTCATGCTTCATTTCAGGTCCACAGCAATAGAGACAGCTGACCATCCACAGCAATAGAGACAGCTGACCATCTATCTGATTGAATTTTCTGAAACTGTGAGCCACAATAAATATTTCCTCCTTTAAGTTGTTATTGTCAGGTATTTTGGTCACAATGACAACAAGCTGACTAACACAGCAATATAGTGGTACATTTTTTTGAAAACCCCAAACTACAACCACAATTTCTTTTATTCAATCAGGTTATTTGGTACATCAATATCTGGGCTTAAATTCCAACATAATATGCTTATATCAGGGCTGGGGATGTGGCTCAAGCGGTAACACGTTCGCCTGGCATGCGCGGGGCACTGGGTTTGATCCTCAGCACCATATAAAAATAAAATAAAGATGTTGTGTCCACTGAAAACTAAAAAATAAATATTAAAAAATTCTCTCTCTCTTTAAAAAAAAAGTATGTTCTGGAGACACTATTAGGAAGACTTATCTGATATTTAAAATAAAATAAAATAATATGCTTATATCAATTCCCTTTTAGGGCCTATGAAAATACAAATTTCATACAAATACCCTCACTACTAACTTTAATAAAGTAAGAGCAGCAAATGAGTCCAAATAAAAAATATCTAATATTTTTAAATGTTTAGAATATTCACAATAACACAAACACTTAGAATACTTCAAACTTCAAACTTAGATTACTCAGTCTGAAGAAAACTATTTTGAAAAAATGAAAAAGAATAACCTGGAATTAGCATGTTGCCTCTATATCCCTATAGCCATCTCAAAGGTTAACACTGTTTATACTACCAATTTGCATTTGCATACCAAATATTGAACTAGTGGATTTAAATCATCTCACATGCTCAAATTTCCCAAACTCGGTTAACATTAATGATATGTTACCATGTGTTTTGGCCTCACCTAATTCTCAATAACTCCAATAAAACTTCTTTGATCATTAAATTTAAGCTTACAGCAAATTCTCCTTTCCTGAGAAACAATCTATTCAAGACACACATAGCACTACAGCACTTTCTTTTTTAACTCATTCAAAGATAAAATTAACAAGATGCTAACTTTATAACAGGGATGACTTATTTCTCTAGTATCTTTTCAAAAGTGCTTAGTAGCCAGAGTGTGGTAGTGCATACCTATAATCCCAGCTACTGGGATAGCTGATACAGGATCGTAAATTCAATAGTAGCCTGGCCAATTTAGCCAGAAYCCATTTCAAAATAAAAACTAGAAAGGGCTGGGGGTACAGCTCAGTGGTAGAGTGCCCTGGGTTCAATCCCTAGTACCAAACAAAAATGTGCTTAATAAAATTTGATTGGCTATCAGGCATGGTGGTCCATACCTGTAATCCCAATGGCTCAGGAGGCTGAGGCTTTGACAAGTTCAAAGCCAGACTCAGCAATTTATTGAGGCTCTAGGCAACTCAGTGAGACCCTGTCTCTAAATAAGATACAAAAACGGGCTAGGGATATGGCTCAGTGGTTAAGTACCCCTGGTTTCAATCCCCAGTATCAAATAAATAAATAAATAAAATTTTGATGGATTAACTTTAAAATGAAATGACAACATTCAAAAGTGCTATCTTAAAATGCAACTAAAAAGACCATTCAATAAACAGTATTTCTTTCCATGCTGATCCATATTGTGCCATGTTATGGAACTATGAGCTGAAAAGTAAGGAAAACAAGGAAGAATTTGGGGAGGAAATGTAGGTCAATGTAAATGAGAATCAGAAGAATGTGAGCTCAAGAATTTGGAATCAATATTAAAAAGTCTAGGATAAACAAGAAACAGGGACTTGTTGGGCTGTAAGAGGAGAAAAACATTTTATCCATTATCATTTTAAAAAGTAATAATAACAGTAAATCCAGAACCAGGCCAGTCTAGGCTCCTGCCTCTACTACACATCACACTCTTTTAACAGACCTTAAAAAACTAATGAAAGTAGAATTCAGAAATTCTGTTCTCTTCAGTAGAATTCTAAATAGTATTTTCAAAACTTACAAGCCCTTATGTGACAAAAACTGGGAGTAGGGGATACAGCAATGGGATTTATTGTGACACTGACTATTTATGTACAGAGGTATCTCTGATTTACCCATAGGTACTAAATTAACTCCATTGCAAAATATCCACGCAAAATCTTATGTTCAACTATTTTTGACATGATCACCTGACTGCTTAATTCAACTTATTTATTAATATTATACTGTACTGATTTTTTTATACTTGGTTTTTCCTTCAAGTACATTTCAGAAGCTGAAATACCATGAGTTTTGATAAACTTCTCAGTGACTAGCCCCTTTCTTCCTCAAGTCTCTAGCATCTTTCCCAGGCCTAAATTATCCTCACCGTTATCTTGAAGTAGATGTGGCTCTGGAGAATCACATTCCATTCTGTCTTCCATAGACTGCAGATGGGTACCTAAGGACTCCTTTGCAGAATCCAGAGGGATTATTTCTTCCATAAGAACTTCCTGCTCATATGTGCCTTGCGGGACCTGAGGACAAATAGGTACTTTTGGTAATTGATATGATTACTGCACAAATCATAGATAAACCTTAATACATTCTTCCACTGAAACAGAATGTTAAGAAAGTCTTCACTGAAATCTTAAGAAGATTCCAAGATAGTGGTTTGTTTTCTTAAAGCTGGAATTAATAAAGCCAGAGCCTTAAAACAGAAACTGTCTTCATTGTATGGGAGTTAATACCATCCCTGTTCTGTTTGAGAAAACTGTAAATGTGTTTCAGTAAATTGATTTCATTAAGAATAAATATTTTGGGCTGGGGATACAGCTCAGTCAGTAGAGTACTTACCTCATATGCATAAGGCCCTGGATTCAATCCCCAGCACCACGAAAAAAAGAAAAAATGAAATGGTTTTAGCATTCATTCATGATTGTTGCCTAAATCAGTTTTTATATTGGGGGTTGCAAAATGGTGACTTCTTTTGAAATTCAATTTTCTGTCCTTTCTCCTTCACCTGCCTTTTAAAAAAAGTTATTACTGTATCAGTCTTATTTCCATCCTTAATCACTTTAATGCACAGACTGCATCAAATTTGGTCAGTGGAAGCCTCTTTAAGCTGCCTCCTACCTTATTCTGACATAATTCCACTAGTTTTGTTGTTGTTTTAGTATATCCCATGTAATTCAAGGCCCACATTTATTCTTCCTGTCCCAGACCTGGTTTCAACTATTTTTCCTGATTTTAGAGGGCAACAGGGTTTAGTAGCAAAGACTCAGTAGAATGTAGGCTCATTGTTAATAAAGGATCATCACCTCTAGGCCCTTTCATGGCTAGAGCTGGTACATACATTTTCCAAAATATGATTTTAATGTAGTTTCAATACCATAAGGTTTTCCTAGTTTCCACAATCTAATTTGTATCTTCTCTCACAGTTAAAAAACAAAATAGTTCAAAACAATGTAAATATATGTATTCATTTGTTCTCACCTACAAAAAACACAGAACTACTTCCAAATTACATAAATTTTGTGCTGTAGGATACTTCCAATAACATTCCTACTAGGTAAAAATCAACATGTTTGTAGATTATATATCCATAGGAAGCATCACACTAAGAATATCTGTCAGAATACTGTGTTCAAGTTGCCTGAATAATTTTTATTTTGTTATTACTTTGAGATATAGTTGGGTTCATTTCTGTTTAATCATTTTGAATTTAATATATTTTAAAATACTTAAAACCTTTTACATAGTATTAAAAAATCAAAATATATGTTCAGAGTAGTCTTCTTCATATTCACACAGCCTGCACTCTACTTATTCCCATAAAAAAATAAACATTATATGCAAATGTTTGCATGTATACATGTTTGCATGTATATGCATGTGTATGTACTTCTGTGTATATGTAATAGATACAAATCAAATACAATGTATTTATTTCTTCCATATTATATATACTAGTATACATCTTTATTTTGTCATTTAATATAAAAATTTTGCTTAAAAATAATTTCATAGATATCTTGCTCACTCTTCTTTTGATTTGCCTAAGATCACATTATATTGATGTACATAATTTAATCAATTACTCATGTAACTGCGCATTTAGGTTGTCAACAATATTTTATTTTTACAAATAATTCTGCTGTGAGAAACTATCTGTTATTTCTTATTTGTAGACATGTATTTTCAAAGTAAATCCCTGGAAATTATATTGCTAGATCAAAAGATAAATGTATGTTAGTCAGTGAAAAAAAATCCCTTTTTAGGTGTTATACCATTTTGTACTTGTACCAGCAATACATGAGAGAACTTGCCTTTCCCAATCAGGCTAACAGACTCATCAAGCTTTTGAGTTTTGCCAGGTTCATAGGTGATAAATGGTATCTACTTCAATATAATTTTGATTCACTTTTATTATGGCTACGGTTGAAAGTTTTGTTGTATATTTAAGAAACTTTCTTTAGTTTATGAAAACGTTCGTATCTCTTGGCTGTTTTTTACTGCATTTATGTTGAGGAGATTAGCTTTTATTCATGATGTAGTTTGCAAATATTTTTATCAATTTATTATTTTGACTGTGAGCTTTTGTCCTATAAAATTTTCATGTACATATTGCTACTGGATTTTGAGTAACTATACACACCCAAGTCATTCATGTTTTCTCCTACTTCCTGTACAATTAAAAATGAAAATATTAATCTCAGACACATTTTAAATTATAGTATATTAAATATGAATCTAATGTTTCTTTCAAATTGGCTATCCTTGCCAGGCCTGGTGGTGCGCACCTGTATTACATCCAGCAGCTCAGAAAGCTGAGGCAGGAGCATCAAAAATTCAAGGCCAAACAGTGAGAACCTGTCTCAAAATAAAAGGGCCAGACCTGGTAGCCTATCCAGCCTGTAATCCAGCAGCTCCGTAGGTGAGCAGGTTCAAAGCCAGCCTCCGGAACCTAATGAGGCCCTAAGCAATACAAGATTCTATCTCTAAATAAAATATAAAAAAGGCCCGAGGATGTGGCTCAGTGGTTAAGCGTCCCTAGGTTCAATCTCCCCCCAAAAATAAAAGGGCTGGGCATGCAGCTCAATGGTATAGGGCCCCTGGATTCAGTCCCCCAGTACTGCTCCTCCCCAGAGGCTATCCTTTGTCTTAGCATCACTTATTTCCCCTCCCCCATGATTTGGAATGGCAATATTTACATTTTCAGATAACATTGGGTCTGCTTTTATACTTTCTATTGTTTCATTTCATTTCTTTGTGTGTCAAAATTAGCTTTATCTAAAGAGGCTTTATAGTACCATTAATATCTAGATAACACTATTTCCCAGATCGTAAGTTTTCCTAGCAATTCTTTCACATTTATTTGCACATTTAAATAAAATTCATGTGTTTTAACCATTTTCCTTCCATAACTAAGCAATTAATTGTTTTTTCTAAGATAGAAAATGATTTTCTATCTACTATCTACTATCTATTTTGAATTCTAGACAGCACAGATTTCTGCACTAGCTGTATCCCATTAAATTATTAGCTAATCCAGTAATCCCTTCAGAATTCATGTCAGTAGGCAATAGTTGATTGTTTCTTAGTTTCCTTGGGTTCTGCTGACTTACTTTAGCAGGTGATTTCTCCTGGACTGTTATTTCACCTATTACACTAATGGTATGGATAAATAAGAAAAGAGTCAAAAGGAAAGGATATCACTGGTCACAAATAAGTATATCTGACCGTAATATTAAGGGGAAAAAACGATATTACAGCTGACTTTGAAAAGTATTATTATTAAAATATTAAATCCCCTATTATTTTTTTTTAATAGTAGAGACTGAACCCAGGATACTCAATGAGCTGCATGCCCAGTCCTTTTTGTTTTTTATTTTGAGTCAGGGTCTAAGTTTCCCAGATAGGCCTTTAACTTGCAAAGCTTCTGCCTTACACTCCCAAATCTCTGGCATTACAAGATGTGCCACATGTCTGGCTGAACTGTCTATTCCAAATGATAAACATTTGAATCAGATAGAAGAACTGGAACTTAAATCAACTGATTAGTAGGTTAGTGAATACCTAAAATAAATGTTGTCTTTAATACAAAAGCATGTTAACCTTCAAATTATCCACATGACATTGTTATCCTAGTATTTGGTTAGGTTTCACTTTCATCAGAAATCAGAAGAAACTGCTTAAATCTCTACTGTATTCCTTTTCAGCATTTTGTGTAATTAATTTACTAAATCTTTGTAAAATATAGGCCTGTAAATTCAGGTGTTATACCATCCATTGTTTGTGCCAAGTGAAGAAATGAAAGTCAGTGTACAATAGGGAATCTTATAGTAATCTGGGAAGGATTACTAACAGCACACTGGCATAGTTGTGAATCTTTGTTGATCAATTAAGCAATAAGTAAACTGAAAGTAGTAGGCAAAATCTATTCAGAATCTCTGCCATTGTGAAATCTGGTGAACACTTCATGAAAAAAGCATGTCCAATAACCAATAACTTCCTAAAGACTTCTTAAGAGCAGTCTCTAGGATTAATCACATCTTCATGATTAATTCTAATATTATAAGCAAGAGATGAAGTTTCTCAAGAAGAAAAGCTATTAACTTCCCAAGAACATAAATTTGGCTTTATATTCATTTGGTAAACTGTACAGTGAAAAGAAAATAGGCCTGGACACTTCAGTTTGAATATGATGTCCCTGCTTCCACCTCTGAGTGTACCACTTAAAATGGAAGTAGCCTGGCCATCATACATTCCTAACAATCTTGACTTCTTGCAAATAGCCATAGAGAAACATTGCATTTTGGTCTGCCTTGACAAATGTTATTGAAGTCAAGCAAAGGAAAATAATTTGTTATACCAGTATATAAGATGTAGTGTTGAAAACTAATCAACCTATGCTCTGCACATAACTTGCAAAATCCAAGTGAAAACAGCATATCCTCTGGTGGCTTATGAATCAGTTTCTGAATTTAGTTTTTAAATTTGGTTAATTCTGAAATTTTCCCTCACTAGCCTTGGCTTTAAAAAATGATTTCCCATTCATATGACACAGAATTCTAATAATGTGCATATATGTCAAGTACCATAGCTATCATGCAGGAAACATTGTAATAGGATATAAATTACCTTTTTGAATTTAATTTTGTTGAAATATTATAGGCTTAGAGAAAAAAAAAACACACACAACTCACAAATGCAGAACTCAATGACTTACCACAAAGTGAACCACACAGGTCAAGAAAAGGAACATTACCAACATCTCAGAAAGGTGTTTTGTTGCCTAATGTCTTCTGCAAAAGTAACTATTATATTGACATCTATCACCACAGATTCATTTGCTTTTTGAAATTTACATAAACAGAATAATGCAATATTTTGTCTGCTTTCTTTGGTTAACATTATGTTTGTAAAATTCATCCCCACTGTTGAATGTAGCAATTGTTCATTCATTTCCATTGTTGTATTCAGTTGTATAAATTTACTGCAATATATTCATCCATTTTATTTCTAATGGGCATGT